ACTAATTCTTCTAGGAAAAGAGTAATCATAAGTATATATGATAAAGGATACGACTAGTGCACCAAACCAGTTAGTCCATTCATGGTGTCACAGCTTAGAAAGATACGGTAAGCCTATGGGAGAAATCCATGGACAAGGTCAAACAAAATAGGCGATGACCAAAAAAAGAATGTATTGAACAAATAAAAGAAGATAAATAAATGGATAGACAATCCCAGACTGTAAGGTATATCCACTGACCCGTATGTGCTGGTGAGGACAAGAAAAGCATTAGTGCAGAATGTCTAAGTGAAGGGAATTGGATTTTCCAGCTTAAAGGAGAATCAATGACCGGGAGAACAGTAGAGTAATGCCACTACTAGAACTCCTTATGCATGTTAATCAGTGTACAAATTAGAGGGGCACCCTACAGTGGGCATAGATGGTTAGTTTTCAATAAGATCACTCTATAACTTACTGCAAAGTTAGACAGTTTGGGAACAAGTGGAATTAGGCTTGAGGATGATATAGAAACAAAAGCACCACCAAAAGTGGCTTGGCTTTGTATTGACTGCTGTACACAATGCACGCTTAACCCACGATCATTTGCAGAAAAGAAGTTACAGCTTGTGCAGCAAATGTGATTTTTGTGAAGGAAAAATCAGAAGCAGTCAATCACATTCTTTTTGCATTGTAGGACGCCTGCTTCTTATAATTTAATAAGTGCATAAAATGTAGAAGTGCAGGCAGATAACCCTGATAGGTTTGAAAGAATCAGTTCATATACAGCCATAAGATAAAAAGGAATCCCTAGGAAGTGAAACCATGGAAATCTATTAAGAACCTGACCTGCCAAGGAAAATGTAAAACTTAAAGGGAAGCCAACATACAAGGCAAGAAGAGGAAGAAAGAAAATAAGTACTTGTACCATTTTCTTTTCTGACAAGAGGGGTTGCTCTGATGGTAAGCAACCTCCACTTCCAACCAAGAGGTTGTGAGTTCGAGTCACCCAAGAGCAAGGTGGGGAGTTCTTGGAGGGAAGGATGTTGCGGATCTATTGGAAACAGCCTCTCTACCCCGGGGTAGGGGTAAGGTCTGCGTACACACTACCCTCTTCAGACCCCACTAGTAGGATAAAGCTGACCTGGACACTTCTAGATATGAAGATCTAGCCTACGTCCCATCGGTTTCTCTTTTCTCTCTTGTATTCAAGGGTAGTATAGATCCTCATCAACAGTGAGAGCAATTTAGGTTATTCAAGTCAAGGATCAAAATCAATTCTGCAAATCTCCTCCTTCCTGGTAAGAATCTTTCCGTGCATATTTCGCGTCATTCCAGAAAACAAAAATTGCAGTTAAAAGGAGTACATAACTAAGATGCTCATGTGAAATGTGAGATACAAGCATGCAGAATGATCCGTCTAACTGGCAACAGCACAAGTACAGACATGGTTGTTTATAAAGCTAGAATTTATTCCTACTATTACTCACAGTTTTGCAGCACTCGGTATTTTGCCAATTCAATCCCTGCAACTCATTAAAAAAAGCCATCGTCCTCCCCATGACAAGTCGTGCAAGCAGAGTTGTGCCAATTCAATATGGCACATTATGCAACTTAAAATGGACGTTATCTCATCAATAGAGGCATCTATCTGCGATCTATATCAAGCTGAAAGGATTTAGCATAACTGACTATCTAACAAATAGCCACAAAAAAAAAGAGGGAACGCCTTTATGTTATTTGCGTTAACAAGTTACAGAAACGATGCATGTAAGGAACAACGTTCATAATTAAAGATATGAAGCCCTAATATGTCGAGCTAAGTACTCATAATCCAAAACCTACTTCTTTAGGTCATGTCCTAATATGTAAATCCCTGTATTAGTTTATGTGTCTTACTTTCCTTTCTAGTCTGTTTCAAAAGAATGTCCAAAACATTTCATGTTTTTGTCAAAACGCTGCCAATGTTTGTTAGATTCCTTAAGCACACTAGTAAAAACTAGAAGACGCATAGGTGTGTGATGTTCACATATTAGAAAGCCAAAATCAGACAAATAACATGTATGACAACAAAAATACTACTGTGCAGCAACGATAAGCAGATTAGTGCATAGAATGGTTAAACATAGCAGTTGTTTCAAGTTCACAGTAAGAAGCATTAATATGCCTTTCTACTGTGTCGAATATGCCAGCTCTACCAAGGCTACTGTTACTAAAGTTACAGAGCCAAAATTCCAAGCTATCTGGTACGCTAAAGATGTTCAAACAAGCAACTACGATACTGCTATCTAACAGGAAATCGAGGTGTAAATAATCAATCACCAGTTCAAGCATAGGTCCTTAGTTAAGGGACACACTCCTTGTACTTAAAAGGCCTTATATAGCATGTGGACATAATTGCTACTCTTTTGAGGCCAAACTACCATTTCCGAAAGACACAAATCTGTTACTTTATATAAATTGTCCAGTTAGATTCCTTTAAAAAGTTTAACAAAATACTCCATAGAAAAACCTCAGGGCATCTCACCTATCCTTCCTGTCCTACTTATAACTTAGAATTCAAGAGCAAAAAACTTTTTCTGACCCAAAAATAAATCATAACAAATTTCACCTGGAGCAACATCATAGGAAGGCTGGAAAGTAGCCAATGCAAGTGGCGATATACTTCTGTCCAGAAGGAAAGAACAATGGAATAAAGGGCAGTGGATCTACGGAATTGAATGAGTTCGAAGATATACTATAAGGTCAATGTAGTGTTATGTATCTGATCCTCTCTATAATGCTAATGAAACTGAAGACTATATCTAAAATACATTTCGATTACACATTTGGTAAAGGTAAGATTGAACTCCTTAAATATTTCTCCCATTAAGGAAAGAGCACAGCATTGCATACAATATGTTTCCCCAGAAAGACCAAACATCTGATTTAATTCATCAAATTGAAAACCTAATACTGTGTACATTGAGACAATTCTCCCTCCTTTCTTATTATTACCTGCTTCTTATATTTTAGTAGGTGTACAAAATATAGAAGTGCAGTCAGGTAACATTGAGAAGTCTAAAAGAATCAGTTCATATACAGCCAAAAGATAAAAAAGAAAAGGAATTCCTAAGAAGTGAAACAATGGCGATCTATTCAGAACCTGACCTGTCAAGGAAAATGGAAAACTTAAAGGGAACCCAACATACAAGGCAAGAAAAAGAAAGAAGGAAAAAGAAGTAATAGTACCATATTCTTTTCTAAAGATTGAGAATGTAACATTCTAATATCTACTACTTCTCAGCATCAAAACAAGGATATATAAGTTGCTCTGACTTCTGGTACATTTTCTTTTCTAATCAGAAGGAGACATCTTGACAAAGATTAACATTTGTTTTGCTAAGAATTGCATCGCCCATGCTTAGATTCCCTAGAGTACGGAAAACTTGCACTAGGTCCTGGCTCCTCTAAGAACACTGTATATGTAGAAAACTTTCCCTCATTGAAAAGCTAGCCTGGGCACTTCTAGATATGAAGATCTAGCCTACTTCCTATCTGTCTCTCTTCCCTCTCTTCTATTCAATGGTAGTACAGATCCTCATCAACCAAGAATCTAGAAAGTGAGAGCATTTTAGGCTAGCCAAGTCAAGGATCAAAATCAATTCTGCAACTCTCCCTCCTTCCTGGTAAGAATCTTTCCACACATATTTTGTGCCATTCCAGAAAACGAAAATTGCAGTTAAAAGGAGTACATAACAACATGCTTGTGTGAAATGTGAGATAAGATATATATATATGGAAGGGTTGGTGCATGTTCCTAAACCAGAATGGATGCACTGACGATGCTACTTACAAAGCTGGCAGGGGCAATCCTGAGAACAATTTTTTTAAAGTATGTGTTGGGCAGATTTAGCTTGAGAGAACCTGCAGATGCTTCGAGGGAAAGTAGAACACTTATCTTTTGCAAAGTGTCTCTTGCAAAAAGTAAAGAATTTGTACTGGAATTCGTTGGTTCCGCATATAATTGAGGGTTGGTGCATCTTCCTAAACCACAATGGATGCACTGGTGATGCTGCTACATAGATAGCTGGCAGGGGCAAATCTGGAGAACAATTTTTTTTGAAGTATGTGTTGGGAAGTTTTAGCTTGAAACAACTCGTAGAAGCTTCAAAGGAAAGTAGAAGACTTATCTTCTGTGCACTATGAATGTTTGAATAATTTGACTATTAAAGCATTGCAAATAATATAGAATTTGTACTGAAGCTCAGTTATCTGATACATAATTGAGGGATCAAATCCAGATAATTTCGTTCCTATACAGTTCCTCCTAGGTGTTGTTAATATGATTACTTATCAAAAAGTCAATCAAAATAAATTTAATAATGCAACAAAAAGCGAAACTGAGTAAAGCAAATAACGTATAGAATTCTTATTGAACAACTTTGGAAATGTAAAAGATGAAAGTATTGTTACCTTTTGATCTAGGGCTCCATAACACAACAACAACAACAATCCATTAAAATCCCCCAAGTGGGGTCTGGGGAGGGTAGAGTGTGCGCAGACCTTACCCATACCCCAAGGAATAGAGAGGTTATTTCCGATAGACCCTCGGAGACGAAAAAGACAATATATCAATACCAACAGCAGAAAGCATATAAATAATAACAGAATCAAAAGTACCAGAAAATAGATCAAAAAAAATAACAGTAGCACGTAAGAAAGGCTCGATACTATGAATAGGGCTCCATAACACCATCAAGCAAAATATTTTACAGGTAGATAATGGTCCTTCTTCAGTGAGATATAAGTGTGTGCACAAGTAGCCTTAACCACTGCAGTTTACAACTGAAGCCTGGATCCAACCTGCTTCATCATCCTCCCAACTCTAAGTTAATAAAATTTTGCACTTGCACCGTGTATTTGTCTTTATTATAAATTTCTCCCTACTAAAACTACAATGACATACTGGAAAGAGATTGAATGTAGGAGGGGAATCAAATGAAGGTTTAAAATTTGCAAACTAAATATCATAAGCCATCTAGAGAAAGCACAACTAGAATTGATTAAATAGGATAACATCCATACATCATACATTAGCCACAATTACAAGATTAGAAGTTACATTGAAGGAAAATAAACAGATCAACTCAATTTTAGAATGATAATTTGGAAATAATAATAATAATAAATAACCATACTACAATTCATGAATGGAGACAAGAGAAATCACATTATCTGAATGACGGTGTGACCCAAGTTGGCGGGCAAATACGACTTAGTGATAATCCAGGATAAAAAGATTCGATTTTTCCATCTTCAAGATCGTAAGCCCCCATATCCCTTCCACCACCACCTTCCACGTAGTTAAATTCCTCAAACCAATCATCAGTAAAATATATGTGATTAGGTTTGACTCCTTTAAACTTCGAAGAGTCGATAGAACTTGCTCCATTACGGCCCAAAAATATAGTTGAATCTCCCAAGTCGTTGATGTCCCTCAATTCACGTTTTATTACATCTAGTTCAGATACTTTAAATTTAAAAGTATCATAACCATCTTCTTCTTCATTATGATGGGCAAACCGGGTAACAAGTAATAGTGCACCGTGTAACTCAACTAGATAGAACTGGACTGACGCTTCATCAAAGATCTTATCTTTAAGCCGTACAAGCAAGTGCGACTTTACAATTGGTTGAGCAATACTAGGCCCTGCAACGTCAAAAACCCTAACTTCACCGGTGTAAAAGACAGCAAAAAATTGACCCTTATAATAATTCATAGTAGCCACTGCACCCCCGAAATTTCTAGTGTCAATATTAGTCCAGTTGAGGTCTCCAGGTCGCCAAAAGGCCAAGCAGTTACTAAAATTAAAATAGGAAATCATCAGTACATAATCTGATGTAAGAGAAGGATTGGCAGATAAGACAGCTTTGTCTATACAGCGATAGATCTGTCCTTTAGGTACTTCTTCGAGACCCGCAAAATCACTTAAGGCTTGTCGTGAAGGAAGTTGAATTTGGTTACGGGAGAAAGGATGCAACAAGTTAAACTCACCATTACATGACATGGTGAACAGCCACCCCTCTGATAGAAAACACTCTCGCCCTCTAGCTTCTGGGAGAAATATGCGTGAAACGTTTTCCTTCGACAGAGAGTAAAATTCTCGATAATCATCATCTCTATCAGCCAGCATCAGCAACGGAAGTTGGGGAGAGAGCAAATCAAACTTATCCTTAGTGGCAGCAGTTCGATATGAGGTACAAACAGCACCAAAAGCAATGAAATCTTCCATCACTTTAATACGCTTTGCGATCACAGGAATGAGATCGCGCGGCAATTCTGCCCAGCTCGCCATGGATGGAAGAGAGGATGTAAGGCAAGAATATCAAGAGGAGGATTGTGTAGGCTAGAAACAGTTAGGGGCATTTATATAGGCGTGTAACTTGACAAGGATTTGGAATACCAGTACGACAAGCCCGAGATATTTGGACTTAAATCGTAGAACTAGTTCTGAGTTCATTTGGACTTTAAATGCTGGCCCAAAACTCTAGCATGGATATGGGAAGAAATAGTGGTCATTCAAAAATAGCCACAATTTCAAAAGTCATCAAAATTTAGTCATTTTTCATGTAAAGATAAATCTAAACAAAAATACTGTTCAAAATCCGGAAAATACTTCAGTATATTATACTGGAATATACTGGAGTTCCAGCAAAACTCCAGTATATTATACTGGAGCCAGCAAAGTATACCGGTCCAGCATAATATGCTGGAAGTTCATATACAGGTGCACCGATCTTCAGTATATTATGCTTGACCGGTCTCTATTGCAGCAAAATAGTGGTTATTTTTCAATGACTTGGCAAACGCTGGCTATTTTTGAATGACCAGGCCGAAAACTGGCTAGCCCGTGCTATTTTAACTGGATATGTGTTGCTACGACCCATATATTATCATTCAAACTAGTAAATTTAGGGATTATTCTGCTGCCAGCTGAAGTCCACTCCAAAAAAAAATTCGGGCTTTTCTATCGGTGCCATAGCCGGTGCACGCGTTGTGCGACTTGAAGAGCAGTAGCCATTGCAGCAGTACTGCAGTAGTCATCCCAACAGAATCATTTTCTTGTTCCGTACTTGTTGACATTTTTCTGTAAAAGAGATTGACACAAACAAAATTAGTATTTCGGTGAAGTTTTTATATCTTTAAACCGAATACAAACAACCGAGTAGAAAATCATAAGGATTTTAATCTCGGTTTAAGTAGAAAGTCACAAAGACTTTAATCTCAAACTGGGGTAGAAATTCGAAGATTTTAATCTCCAAAACGGGAGTAGAAAATCACTAGGATTTTAGTCTCCCAAACCAGAAAGTAAAATGAACACAGAAATAAATATTAAATTCCTTAAGCTTTTTTAGGATTTTGTATTCAAAACCAAAAAATCAGAAGACATTAGTTCAAGATAATAAAAACGGAAAATTCCAAGCCCACAAGTTTCTTTGTGGCTTAAGAAATTTAATCCCCTTACAGTTGCCCATGGTTTCGGATTAATTCCTCCCAGGATAGAACGGAATAACTATTAATTATGTGATAGCGGCACTTCAAATCACAGAACTTCGGCGGACTCAAATGGCGGAGCGAATCACACAAAATGCTTACATTTTTGCTTTGAAAACAATGCAGAATATAGAAGATAGAGGGGAGAGATTTTCATATTTCGGTGAAAAATGAGGCTAAGCCTCTCTATTTATAGCCAACGAAGTTGAGTGCCAACAGGTGCGAAGGTGCTTGTTCGTTGGTAAGATGTCTATTCCGCAGAAATTATTTGGATTTCTGTTGAATGAAATGTTTGGTCGCGAACTCGACCGTTGGAAAATAATTTCGCGAATTTCCAAATTCATTATTTTTCGCGAGAAAATAATAGAAAAGAAAATATTAAATGTTGGAAAAGAAAAATAAATTTGGTCCAAAAAATTATCAATCAATCATATCAATTGACCAAATCTGAATCTGAATCCGAAGCCGAGCTGAGCGACGACGACGACTGCGGCGTGAGGCTTGCTCTCTTCTCAATTATTTAAGAGCTAGAAGAAGTGCTTTCATATATAAGCATAAGTATTTTCCTCTTCTAATCCAATGAGGGACAAAGTTTCTTTGTAAAATGAAATAATTCAAAATTTTATTTCTCTCAATTTCTTCTCCTGCCATTTTGCATTCACACCTCTTTTGTTTTAATTAATAAAACCCAATAATCCCCCACATGAATGGAAAATGGCTATCCGAAATAAATATATATGATAAAACTTTGTGATTCGCAAGTAAGGGTTACCCTCATCTGGATAAGTAGGTTTTCCTTTGAACTTTCCGTAGTAAACATATGTCGGATATACTCAATCAATCGATAGATTTGATATCTTTGAACCGTCGAACTTTGGTGTATACCTAGACAGCAATACGTCATACAATCAACCCTTAACCGTCTTTGGTTCTCATTGTTGTGTTTGTTTCAGCCATAAACATCACCTGGTTTCATAAGTGCGTAGAGAACTGGCCTTACAAAATTCTCCTTGAAGCGGCTTAGAATTCACACTTACATAAGTGATTCATAAACGTGTTATCCCGTAGATATATTATCTGATATACCCCGTATCAAACTTAGAAATCATTAAAAAGCCTTAACGCTTTATCCTTGATACTGAACATTGTCTTCATCATGAGAATGGACCAAAAATTTTATCTGACAATGTTGAACCGTCACTAATGACTTTGTTTGATCTCCTTGAACCTACATCTTGGGTCTCCAGTCTTCTAGTTAGAGTTACCGCCATACTAACTTGTCCTCGGCCAGTCCCATTTCCTTTGATGACTTCTCAATTGCTTCTCTAATTAGGCCTTTTGTAAGCAGATGTGATACATCATCTTTTGACTTTACATAGTCAATTGTGATAATTTCACTGGAGAGTAGTTGCGCTAACGGTATTTTGTCTTCGTTGTATGTGACGAGATTTCCAGTTATACATAACGCTCATCGCCCTTCCTGTTGCCGCTTGATTATCGCAATGTATGCATATAGGTGCCAAAGGTTTGGGTCAAAAATGGACTATTTTCCAAGAAATTCTGGAACCAATCAGCTTCTTCACCGGCCTTGTCTAAAGCTATAAACTCAGACTCCATTGTAGAGCGGGCAATGCATGTCTGTTTGGACGACTTCTAAGACATTTCTCCTCCACTAATGATAAAAACATATCCACTTGTGGGTTTTGATTATGTTAATCCGGTGATCCAATTTGCATCATTATAGCCCTCAATAACTGCGGGATAATTATTGTAATGCAATGCATTATCTTGGGTATATTTCAAATACCCCAATACTCGTTTCATTGATATCCAATGAGCTTGGTCGGGATTACTTGTATATCGACCAAGCTTACTTATTGCACAAGCTATATCAGGTCGTGTACAATTCATAATGTACATCAAATTTCCTAACGCTCGAGCATATTCCAATTGGGACTTGCTTTGATCTTTATTCTTTACAAGCGTATGGTTTAAATCAATTGGCGTTCTTGCAACTTTAAAGTCCAAATATTTGAACTTTTCAAGTACCATTTTAATATAATGAGATTGAGACAAGGCTAGAACTTTAGGAGTCTCAAGGATCTTAATTCCCAAAATTAAATTGGCAACTCCTAAGTCTTTCATATCAAACTTACTAGTAAGCATGCACTTAGTAGCATTTATGTTAGCAATGTCGTTACTCATTATCAACATATCATTCACATATAAAGAAACAATGACTATTTGATTTGGAGTATCTTAATGTAAACACATTTGTCACACTCATTGATCTTGAAATCATTTGACAATATTGTTTGGTCAAATTTCGCATGTCATTATTTTGGTGCTTGTTTTAGTCCGTAAAGTGACTTAACAAGTCGATACACCTTCTTTTCTTTTTCAGGAACTATGAACCCTTCAGGTTGTTCTATATAAATTTTTTCCTCCAAATCTCCATTTAAGAAGGTTGTCTTCACATCCATCTGATGGATTTGAAGGCCATACACGGCGGCTAACGCTATTAATACTCGGATAAATGTAATCCTCGTTTCCGATGAGTATGTGTCAAAGTAATCAAGGCCTTCTCGTTGTCTAAACCATTTAACAACTAATCTTGCCTTATATTTGTCAATGGTACCATCAGCTTTCATTTTTCTTTTGAAAATTCACTTAGAACCCAAAGGCTTATTTTCTGGAGGAAGATCAACCAATTACCAAGTATGGTTACTTAATATGGATTCTATCTTACTATTGATTGCCTCTTTCCAATATTGTGTTTCGAGGAAGACATTGCTTTTTTGAACGTTTGAGACTCATTTTCCAACAAGAATGCCAAAAAATATGGTCCAAAGGAAGTAGTTGTCTTTTGATGTTTACTACGTCTTGGATTTTCCTCATTAAAAGTACTTTCCTTTGCTTCTTCCCGAGGTCGCTTAGATTTTCACCTTCCTTTTATACGGATAAATTTCTCAAAAAATTCAGCATTATCTGATTCAATTACCATATTAATATGAATGTCTGGATTTTCTGATTTATGGACTAGAAAACGATATGGCTTACTATTTGTTGCATATTCTATAAAAATATAATCAAGGGTTTTGGTCTAATTTTTACCTTTTTGGGTTTAGGCACTTGCACTTTATCCAAACACCTCCACACTTTAAAGTATTTTAAGTTGAGTTTCCTTCCTTTTTATTTTTCATATGGAATGGATTGCGTTTTGCTATGGGAAACTCGATTGAGTATCTGGTTAGCAGTAAGAATAGCCTCCCCCCCCTCCCCCAATAAGTTCTGAGGTAAACCATAACTTATTAACAAGGCATTCATCATCTCCTTTAACGTTTTATTCTTTCTTTCCGCAATTCAATTAGATTGTGGTAAGTAAGGGGCAGTTGTTTGGTGAATAATGCCATATTCCAAACATATTTCTTCAAAAGGAGATTCATATTTGCCACCACTATCACTTCTTATCATTTTGATCTTTTTGTTTAGATGCGTTTCAACTTCATTTTTGTATTGCTTGAATGCATCAATTACTTCATCTTTACTATTAAGTAAGTAAATATAGCAATATCTAGTACCATCGTCAATAAAAGTTATGATATACTTTTTCCCACCGCGAGATAGTATTGACTTCATGTCGCAAATATCTGTGTGAATTAAGTCTAAAGGATTTAAATTCCTTTCATGTCGCAAATATTGACTTCTATGGATGTTTCATTCTTACTAACTACAACCTTGTCAGGAAAAAAAAACATACTTAAAGTCGTTCTTGACTAGAAGTGATGTCGAGACTAAATTCTTCCGTATTTCACGAATACGAAGAACATCGTTTAAAGTCCCAATCTTTCCAGAGGTCATCTT